ATCAATCTCATCATCGTCTTCGTACCTTCCGTCGGTGGATTTTGGTAAACGACCAACGGAGCTATAGCCGTGGAACCGCGTCTGCACGTGAGTGCGGTTGCTGCCTGCGACATTTCGTCGTTCCCCAAGCGTGCGTAATGTCTGGCTTCGTTCAAGAGTTCGTTAAACGTTGACATTTTATCTTCGAACAGTGCGTCGTACGAAAGCACGTGAGGTTGCATATCCACGACGAACGACAAAATCGGGATCTTTTTTCTCGCTTCTTCCTCTTCCTCTTCCTCTTCTTCTTCTTCTTCTTCGCCATCGCTTTGTAGTTTGATGCTCGTTTTCCGCGACTGTTTGTTATCTCTCGATCGATCCAGTTTGGATTTTAGTTTCTTGATCTCCGAATTCATTTTCGATCGATCGTCCCAATATTTGTTTGCTTCATCGCGCAGACGGCTGATCTCGGACTTCAACTTTTGAAAATTGGACAAAAGATTGTCTCTTTCCTCTTTCAATTTCTCCAACTCGAACAGCTTTTCGTTTTCAATGTTCCCGGTCGACAGGTAATTAATTTCGCAAACTTTTTCCTCAATTTCACTTCTTGCTAACCGCAACTCTTGCGTTAAATTGGATGTCGTGTGTTGCAACTGTTTAATCCTCTCTTTGTAATCGCCGAAATTATCAATCTCCGTTTTCATTTGTTCATTTTGATTCCTAAGTATTTTTATCTCTAGTCCCATCCGGTCTCTAACTTTTCTCGACTCGTCCAGTGATTTCTCGCTCGATTCTAAACGCTTGATCAGCTTTGCATTGCGATTGCCATCGCCGTCATCGTCGGGAGCGACCGCTCTTTGCAAATCGGCTATCGTGTTCTTTAGCCGATCGACTTCCCGTTTGTAATCTTCTGTTTCGTGCGTCTGTTGGCGCAAACGATCGATTTCAGATTCCGAGTTTTTGGATTTTTTTCGCAAATCGGATATAGTGTTCTGCAACTGATCGACTTCTGCCGTTTTCGTTCTCATTCTTTCGGTTTCGTCCGCGGAAATCTTGTGCAACTCCTTCGTTGAAGTCAACTGTTGGCGCAAACGGTCGATTTTAGATTCCGAGGTTT